GGAGCAGCAGAAGCATCTGGACTCACTTTACTGGACGGCTGACCTTAATGAGGACAAACAGAAATGAAGCAGCTGAAGCTTTTTTTGCTGCTTAAAGTGCTTCTGGTGTGAACGTAGCTTAGCATGCAGCTACTGAAGCTGCTTCATGGGAGAATATGGACCAAGCTTCGTCCACAGAGGAACCACCTCCCCACCCAGAAGAACCCAAAGGACCCGTTCTATCTGGAGACCAGATAATGTTCCTAATGACTAACACAGATGAATATGCCATAGATTGTTTAGGGGTGTCGGAAAGAAACAAATAGCAGTTTTAAAAGTTTTCTGCGTAATTCCAGAAAACATTTCACTGATGAGTGAATAAAGTCCAAAGCATGAATAACTGATATGATTGGATGACTTCACTCCAGATGTGCCTGTCCTGTGAGAAAACATCTGGACTGACCCATCGGCTTCCCTCTGTAACGTGGCAGCGCTTACACAAGCTGGAGTCAACAGGCTCCTCACATGCAGTGAAGCCTGCAGCCTGTGGCTCGGCGGACGGCGTCTTTCACAGCAGCTGTGATCAGCAACGATCAGGAGGCATGCAGACCGGGCGGCGCTGCAGCTGCTTTACATCTGAACGCACTCACATCAGGATCCATTTCTTTTGCTTTAGAGGAAAACATCCCTGGATGGGAGAGCCTGAAACATGAAACCTCTGAAATCATTTCTCTATGCTGCATGCTGGAAGCTCCTCCTCTAAAAACCTGAAGGACAAACAACCATTAAAGACTCTGCAGCTCTTTGGTATCATATCATGTTTTAATTAACCTCCAGTAAGGCGTCTGTCAGCAGCCTGAGACAGAAACAGTCTAGGGATTGCCTGAAAAGGTCAAAATGTCAATTTGCAGGAATGTCATCCTTGCAGACAGTTCTTTGCCAACATCCCTTTGTGTTTCAGGGCATCTCTCATCTAACTGATGCAGCAAAGAGAATCCATGAACAGAAAGTCCTGGACTCACCTCATGTCATCAGATCTTTAGCTCTAGAAACAGAAAGGATTTCCATGTATCTAAACTAAAACAGTGCTAATTAGAAAACAGGAGGACGCCGTGCACAGAAAGAAATCTGTAAAGGAGTTTGGAAGGATGTCCTCAGAGTTTGAAAGATGGAAAATTTGCTGCTGCGGCTGAACTTACTGTTCCGCTCTGAAGATGAAGGTCCAGTTGTTCATGCAGACCCTGGGTGCTGGAGGCAGCTGCTCCTCCTTCTGCAGCTCACTCAGCTTTCACTGCTCTCCATGCAAATGAGGAGCAGAGGAAGGAGCTCCCAAAGCTGCAGAGGCTCCGCCCACCAGCGCCCACTTCTGCAGGGACCCAAGTTTTCCTCAACTTGTGAGAAGATTTCATGGAAGCAGCTTTTAGGAGCGTCCAAAACAAAGTTTTTACATTACTGCTGATTATAAACTATAAAATCTGTGGTTATTTTAGTGAGTAAGAAATTAAAACAGATATTTGACTTATTTTTACCTGTTTACAAACAATCTTGGTTTTAAAAACTTTAATGTTTTCCAAACTAAGGTCAACAGGAAAAGGAAAAACAGGACAGGAAGATGGTTTCTCTGTTAGCATGAAGTCATTCAGCTTAAATAAGACCTGATTCATTAAATGAGGGATTTATCCGTTATTAATGCAATTATTTATGCCCCCAAATTTTATTACAAAATGTCACGTCTTGTTTTTTTGTATTGAAATGCTTCCTGTAATCAGAGAACAGCTTTTGTCCCGTCTGAAGATTAACCTCTTTGCCATCACCCTAATCTTTAGCTTAATTCACAGATTATCAGATTAAAGTCAGGAGTCTGGATGAGAGAATCTAAAATCCTGTTTTTTTTAAATCAGAAGAAACATGATGATATTTCTTTAAACTCCAATCTGACCAGCCTCTTTACAATCTGCTGCATCATGGAAAGTTGAATGGAAGGAAAAACTCCAGGAGAAAAAGAAAAACATAGTCGGCAAATGAAGCCCTGAGGAAGCGAAGGTTTTAGGAAACATGACCTGCAGGTGGAGGCAGATCCATCAGAAACGTTCCTGCTGCTTTCCCTCAACTTAAGGCACTCTTCAAATAAAGTCATTTTTCTGGATAACGAGCTTTTTAACACCTGATCTATGAAAAATAGCACGTGAGGCAGAAGAGGAGTGGTTAGATAAGAAGTTTCTCCAACATGAAGATGAAATGTTTGCTGATCAGAGCAGCAGCGACGCCATCAGCCATCTTCCAGGACTTTTTACTCTCTCTGGGTTTTTGCTGGGAGACTTTCTGAAAAGCATTTTTTTTTAAAGCAACACTTAATTTGGCATTTTTAAAGATCTGGAAACTGATGTCTAACATTTCCCAATCTAGAGTTACAGATCTGCCAGTTCAGCCAAATTCTAAGCTGCTCTCTGCCGCCATCTTGTGTCAGACAGTCGTTTTGCAGGCAGGTTTGCTCTCAGCAGCACAGCTGTTAGTGAGGAACTGGAGCCCCCCCACCCACACACTCACACTCACACACACACACACACACACACACACACACACACACACACACACACACACACACACTCCATCATGTGACTTCTACACCTGTGATCCTTTTTAGAACCAGTAGCTTCCTCTGTGTCACAGGATCCACAGCTCTCACTTTCAACCACTGATCATCATCATCATCATCATCATCATCATCATCATCATCATCATCATCATCATCATCATCACTCTCTGTTCTGTCTCCTGATTCTGCCTTTGATTTATATAAAGCAAAAGAAACAGAGATGCAAGTTCTCCACCTAATCAGTTCTTCAACTAGTCATTTCTCTAACTAGTCAGTTCTCTAACTAGTCATTTCTCTAACTAGTCAGTTCTCTAACTAGTCAGTTCTCCATCTGCTTGAACTCATACAGTCTCCATAACACAGTTGGTTTCATATGAGGAGCCGTTTGTAAAATTAAGCAGCCAAATATTAGGAGCATCTTTATGGTTATTTAGCCTGTTTGAAGAGAAAATAAGCGGGTTATATTTTCCAAGTCATTTTTTCATTTCATTTCACTTAATAAAAATCAAAATTCCAAAGTAAATATTTAGCTTGTCAGTTAAAAGTCTGTCAGAAAGCCGATTACTTAGTTTGGAAGATAAATATTTAGCTCCAAAGTAAATATTTATTTAACAAACTATTTAGTGTGGAAGTGATTTTTTTTTTAGAAATGAATGAATGACAGTGAAAAAAATGACTTGGACTGAAAAGCAACCTTATTTTTCTCTTAAAAACGCTAAATAACCATAAATTATGCTCCTAATTTTTGACTAACTTTCCAAACAGTTTCACAGTAAAGACTTTTCACACGTTTTTAAATCTGATGGTGCTGAGCCGCATGTAGCCACTGCTGCTCTGGGGCACGCCCACAGAAGAGAAGCTGCTGGACTTCAGGCTTTCTGAGACACTGCCGGTGGCAATGCCTTGCCCAAGGACACACAAAAAACAGAGATGAACAGAGCTGAGGTTTGAACCCACCTGTAGTGGCAATCTCTCTTCATTTTCCAAAATACCACCTAGAGCTGCAGACATTTCTTCACTCGCATGACACGACAAGTTCTTAAAGTTTTGATGCCTTTACTTAGAAATAAAAGGGTTAGAAAACCAGAAGGCGCACGGTAAGAGAACTTTATGCTCCCATGCCTTGTGCAGCTCTGCACGTTCTCAGTTACATCATTTAAAGGGGCAGTCATCAAATATTTTTTATATCAATAACTTTTCTTAGAACTACGAAATAAACATTGACATGAACTAAGAATAGGGCTGCAACAACGAATCGATAAAATCGATAAAAAATCGACTTTTAAAAGCGTTGGCAACGAATTTCATCATCGATTAGTTGTGTCGCGCGATTAATGCGTCATCCGCTGCCGTCATCAACACATCCACTTGACTGAAACGGGGGAAGAAAAAAAATACGACAGCGCCGCAGGTGCAGTGTTGCCAACTCAGCGACTTTTCAGACCCCTTCAGCGACTATTTTTCAAAAAAGCAACTAGCGACAAATCTGGCGACTTTTTACAATGTCACTGGCGGCTTTTGGAGACTCTTAGTGAAAGCATG